GAGGCACTTGGTTGTAGTCGTACCATTCTTAGTACGGATTGCTTAGGGAAGGAAAATGTATCCAAAAGCTGCTTTTACAAAAATTTATAGACAATATTTTTTAGAGCAGTTTTAGATTTACAGAAGACTTGCATAGAAACTACAAGAGAGTTCCCGCACACCGTCCCCCCACCTGCATTTTCCCTGTTACGAATATCTTGTGTTCCCCTGGCACATTTGTTACAATGGATGAACCAGTATGGATACAGTCTTATTAACTAAGGTCTGAGTTTACCTTAGGGTTCACTCTGTGATGTGCAGTTCTATAGATTTTGATAAATGCACAGTATCATGTAACACCACTACTGTATCGTAATAATTTCAACACCCTAAAACCCTTCTATATTCCCCTCTATTCATCTCTCCTTTCTTCCCTCCCACACGCCAGCCCCTGGCAGCCAATGCTCTTTTTACCATCACCATAGATTCCCAGAATGTCATATAGTTGGAGTCAAACAGGATGTAGCCCTTTCTGACCAGCTTCTTTCAATTAAAAGCATGCATTTGACGTTCCTCCGTGTCTTTCCAAGTGAATCACACAATTTTTGGCTCAATATCTTATTTGTTTTTATCACTGAAGATAAAAAGATATTCTTTAATATCTTATATCTTTTTTCTTTTTCTTTTTTATTTTTTGAGATGGAGTCTCACTCTGTTGCCCTAGGCTGGAGTGCAGTGGCACAATCTTGGCTCACTGCAGCCTCCATGTCCTGGGTTCAAACGAGTAGCTGGGATTACAGGTGTGCTCCACCTAATTTTTGTATTTTTAGTAGATACGGGGTTTCACCGTTTTGGCCAGGCTGGTCTTGAACTCCTGACTTCAGGTGATCAACCCGCCTCAGCTTCCCAAAGTGCTGGGATTCTGGGTGTGAGTCACCGCGCCTGACCTTATTTCTTTTTATTACTGAATGTGCCATTATTTGGATGCGCCAAAGTTTGTTTATCCATTCTGCTACTGAAGGACATCTTGGGTGCCGCCAGTTTGGGGAAAGAATGATTGAAACATTTATGTCCATAAGTTTTCCACTCATTTGGGTAAATACCTAGGTAAAAGCTATTTTTAAAAATGAGATTTTAGTTCCTTTTTTCCTAAAGTCTGGAGGAAAGTATTCTCCCTTTTCCTTCCGGATAAGTTACAAAGGACAAAGCAGGAAGTGGAAGTAAATAAAGCCGAAGGCTATTGAATGTTCTTTTATTTTTTATTTTTATTTTTGTTATTATTATTTTTTGAGACAGAGTTTTGCTCTGTCACCCAGGCTGGAGTGCAGTGGCGTGATCTCGGCTCACCACAACCCCCGCCTCCCAGGTTCAAGCGATTCTCCTGCCTCAGCCTCCTTAGTAGCTGGGATTAAAGGCATGCGTCACCACGCCAGGCTAATTTTATATTTTTTTAGTAGAGACGGGGTTTCTCCATGTTGGTCAGGCGGGTCTTGAACTCCTGACCTCAGGTGATCCGCCCGCCTCGGCCTCCCAAAGTGCTGGGATTACAGGCGTGAGCCACTGCGCCCAGCGTGAGTGTTCTTTTCTTGTGCGTGGGTAAGTACACTGATCTCTTGGACAGAGACGGAAGTAGTTCACCCTCCCATTAACTAGCCACGGAACCTTTAGGCCGTTGGATTGGTTGTCACTGAAATCTTTTAGAAATCTGGACAAATAACCCAGGTTAACCAGGTGTATTCTGTGCATTTTTCTTAAGGGATAGAGTTGGTTATAAAGGGATGCTATGGGTGGGAAGATAGTGACTTTGAACTGATTTTATTTTTTTCTCAGTTTGCCTAATAATTATTTTTAATATGTCCTGCCTTAGTTTTAGGACGTTTCCTAGATTTTAAAAGCGGGTGTTGTTTTTCTTTTGCATTTTCTCTTATTTTTGGTCTTTCATTTATATCATTCTTCTAATCACTGTGGTTGTTCTCTAGGCTTTTGTGGCCCCAGAATTACCCAACTTAGTTTTATTGTTCTTGGCAGTTGCTGTCTTTTACCTCGCCTCTTTAGGATGTTTTCCCCCACACTGTTTGTTCTGAACCAAATTTCTCCTTTAATGCCTTAGTGTGGCTTCCATTCTTCCCAGGCAAAGAGGCTTTATTTCATTTGAAACAAACCGTGGCCTTCCTTTAGATTTTAGAGAGTGCTGCTGTTTATAATCAGGGTTCACGGAACAACAGTTTGGGATATTGCTGGCATACTATTTTGTGTATGCATGTGTGTGTTTTGGAATTACCGTATATGCTTGAATAGAAGTCAGGCTGGTATTACGTCTTCAGTATCTTCAGAAAAGAGGAAGTGCCTTACAGAGTCCTTGCAAATCTCTCATATGATAAGGACACAATTTCAATGATAGTATTTTATTTTCAATAACAAAGTACTAGTTAGAGAAGACACATAAACCTTTATGTGGCTCACTGATGACTTTGGGTGCTCTAGAAATCACTGGAGGAACCCAGTAGGAAGGAAGGTAAAAGCATTTACGTGGCTTTAATAATAACTTCTAGAGATATGGCCTCTTGATTGTGAGAGTTTGAGAGGCCAGTCTCAAAACAGTTCACTGAGTGGTTAATTTATGGAGATTTTAAATGGGTGCGTATGATTTGGGATAAGATTTCCAGCAAAGGCATCATATGCAAATTAAAAAAAAAATACTTTATCTCAAATATCCAGTCACCTGAAAGATCATGTTACATTGAAACACTGCACAAAGACTCAAAAAGTCATCCTGGTTCTGCCTGTGACTAGTTTGAATAAAATTGTTTCATGAAATGTGACAGCGTGGAAACAGTATTTCTTAAATTAACTATGTTAACATTTTAATATATGGTCTTAAATAGGATGATGCAGCTTTAAAGATAAGTGGTATCAATAGTCATTTAATAATTCTATTGCATTCCTAAAAAGTATATGTTTGCGTTTTCCAAAAACCTTTTACTGAGGGACAAAGTCTTCCTATTGGAAAAGCAAGGAGGTCACCTTATATTTGGAGTCACCCTGTATTTGGACACGTGTGATGCCTTTACAAGGCACGCACAGTTTTGAAGTATTCTGTGCATTGTTTCATTTGGAGTGAAGGGAAAATATACAATTCTTCTTCCCATTTGTGGGCACACTGGATTGGGCAATGTCAGTTTATATCCCCGGTTTGAACACGGATCTTCCTTCTCAGCCAGCACCCAGCCCTAAGGCTATCGGTAATTTTGAATCTGTTGGACACTTTTTAGAGTTCACCCTTTTTTTTTTTTTTTTCTGCGTTTGGCTCCTTAATTCTTACCATCCTGTAGTCCTGCCCTTCCTGTGACAACAGCCTGGCTGACATAACCCCTGCCCACCCCCGCACCTGTCCTTTCCCAGTTTGCTGTGAACGGCAGTGTTCGCCACCAGCCTGTTGGTCTTTTCCCCGCACCAGTTCTCTGCCCTCACCTTGACAATCTCACATCCTTTCAAGGCTTCAGCGTCCACCCATATTGAGGTTGAAAACTGGTAGCCTGCAGGCCATATCTTGCCTGCAAGGGTGGGGTTTATGGTTGTTTTCAATATGAGTTTGTTGCCAACATTTAAAAATTGAGATCAAATCTGGACCTCTGGCTTCTTTTGGAGAATGAGGTGAGCTGGCAGTGCTGGGACCAAGCCGTGAGCAGGTGTCCCCGTTAAGTGGGGCACTGCGGTCCTGTTTGCCACAGCCAGTCCTAGCTACCGCTCCTTTTTGTTTTTGACATTGACGTAGTGTATCAGTTGCTGTTTTTGTTTCAACATGATTACGCCATTCAATTCCCTACAGTAGAGATAAGAGGAAAAAGAAACATTTCTCTTGCCTATCTCTCTACTCAAAAGTGAGAAAATAAAAGCCGGATCAAGAATGGTATGTTTAAAAACAATGGAAGAGAATGTGTGTTTGTGTGTGTGTGTGTGTGTAAGAGTATTTTTATCTGGTTAACATTCAAGGTGTGTCTGAGTTGGCATGCTACAATTTAAGATGCCAGAGCTGATAATAATTGACCTAGATGCTTTTGATGTCCAGATACATTCTTTTGCCCACATAAATACTTCTGCTTCTGAAATCTCAAATGATCTCATTGGTAATCTGGACTCATCGGTATTTACTGAGTACCTGGAATGTGCAAAGGTACTGGGGTACAATGGGAAGCAGGGCAGACACGTTTCCTGCCTTCTGGGAGCTTACAGTCACAGGTGCAGACACCAGACACCTCACACTCAACATGACCCTGGGCTCATTTCTCCCTTCCACCTCCTCCCGTCCTCTCAGTGTCAATGCATGGCATCACCTAGTATCTGATTAGCAATCGTCATTCCATCTGGAACTTAGTTCCCCTTAGCTCTGTAAAGTTAACATATTCTCCGGCATGACACCAGGAATTAGGACACCAACATCTTTGGAGTCCATTATTGTGCCCATGATAATATCTACCTGCTAAATAGATTAACTCATCCTCACCTGCCAGTTTGTCATCACCCTTGGGCTCCAAACATGGAGGTCATTGGACTCATCAATTAAGTTGGCTTTCACATGGTTTTTTTTTTTTTTTAATTGCTTCCCCAAATCTGAGGTTGCTCCCCGTGTCACCAACCCAGGGCCACATTCGTATGAAATATTTCCCTGGCCCCTCAGGCTGCGCCATCTTGAGTGATGTGCTCCTCTCTCCCCACACCCTGGTTCTGCTTAACTTCCAGGTTCCGGTTTAGGTCTTGCTTTCTCCAGAAACTTTTCACGATCCCTCTGTCCTCTTTGCTCTCTGTCGTCTCTGAAATTCTTCAGCTTTTATAGTCTACAGCAATTAATTGTTAATATATCATATCTTTTAAATATTTACTTGTTGATTGAGTTTTGGCCGAAAGCTTTACAGGTTGGTTAGAAGTGACTCTAAAAACAGTTCATTGCCCGTCAGAAGCAAAATGTAATTCCATTATTTCGAATGCTTATCTGAAATGTTGTGTGGTTTTGTTTATTTCAGAGACTTGAAGATAGAGAATTTGCTACTAGATGAAGACAATAATATCAAGCTGATTGGTATGACTTTTTTTTTTTTTTTTAAAGCAAAATTATCTTTTAAGTGTTGTGTTGTCAGTTCTCAACTTTGAAAAATATCCATGGTCTATCTCTAATACCCAGACAATATTCTAGATTATCTTCTTTTACCTCCAAAATTTAATAATGGTTTTGAAAATGGATCATGTGTTTCCTTGTCTTATTCAAACTATAGCTTCTCCATAAATTCAGATGGAGCTGACCTTTTGTAGAATTTATTTTTATTTGGATTAAGCAGAAAACTTCTTAAAAATAGTGAAAGATAAGTTTGGCTCAGAAATGCTTCCCATAGCTTTGTCGTATCTCATTCCGCTTCTCGGTGAATGCAGGGATGCCTAAAATAAGGGGGAATGCAATTGACCTTCTCTTTTTAATATAATCTTTATTCAGGCTCATTGGTACAATGGGAGCTGTGCAGAGAAGTCCCCACAAAGGGGTAGTTAGAAGTCTGAACCAATCAGAAGGAAGCTACAAGATGGAGCATCATGATTGGTTCATAATTCAGGGTCCATAGCAAATGCACTGCATGACTCATTTTCTAGACGAATTCAGGTGGTTCTATTGTTGTTATTGTCTCCCTCTGTGGTTGCTCTGGGCAGAATTCAGGGCATCATTTTTATATCCAGATACTAGATGGCACCATCTTTTATTCCTCTCTCTCTTTTCTTTTTCTCCCACCTGAAGTGCAAGTAATTTCTTTCACCTCAATGGCTTGAAAAGACTTTATAGGAGGGGAAAAGAAGAGGATCAATAGGACTTTGTGAATTTAACGTTTATGCCCAAGAAGGAACTTTTGTTTGACAAATGCTGAAAGTCATTACAAGATTCTCCAAAACACATCATTAAAATGACTTATTCGATATTTTGGGATTACAGTCAGCTCCCAATTCAGAACCAGGCAAGAGACTGCACAGACTCTGGATAATTAAACACCGTTGATAGGTGTTGATGGATACACTTACTATTAGAAAGTTAACGGTGAAGAGGAAACCAATTTTTCCCCTAAAGCATTTAGGAGAATCTATTCTTAGAAGATTCTTAGATAATTCAAATGATTTTCTTTTTCTTTTTCCTTTTTCTGAGATGGAGTCTCCCTCTGTTGCCCAGGCTGGAGTGCAGTGGTACAATCTCAGTTCACTGCAGCCTCTGCCTCCCAGGTTCAAGGGATTCTCCTGTCTCAGCCTCCCGGGTAGCTGGGATTACAGGCGCCCACCACCACACCTGGCTGATTTTTGTATTTTTAGTAGAGATGGGGTTTCACCATGTTGGCCAGGCTGGTCTCAAACTCCTGACTTCAGGTGATCTGCCCACCTTGACCTCCCAAAGTGCAGGGATTACAGGCGTGACCCACTACACCTGGCTGATTTTCTTTTTGTTACATTGTTTTACTGTTGCATTTACTTGTCTTGAGGGCCAAATGCATAAGCCAGAAAACAAGGCACTGGTGTTGAAATGCTTGCAGGAAGTCTCTCTGGTCCTCATTTCTGAGATCTGGAGGGTTAAACAAAGGGGCCTCCTGGTGTGCGGTAAGGAATGGAGGAAAGGAGTTTTTTGTTTTAGGTTCCCTGTAACTGTTCTTTGGAAAATGTGGAGGTGACAGTGATAAAGTTGTCGTAACAGCACCAGAGACTGTAAGAGAACAGACTTTGTAACAGCGGTATTTATATGACAATAAAAGTTAGAATAGGCCAGGCGCAGTGGCTCACACCTGTAATCCCACTTTGGGAGGCCGAGGTAGGTGGATCACAAAGTCAGGAGTTCAAGACCAGCCTGACTAACATGTGAAACCCCCGTCTCTACTAAAAATGCAAAAATTAGCCAGGCGTGGTGGTGCACGCCTGTAATCCCAGCTATTCAGGAGGCTGAGGGAGGAGAATCAGTTGAACCTGGGAGGCAGAGGTTGCAATGAGCCAAGATCGTGACACTGCACTCCAGCCTATGTGACAGAGCAAGGCTCTGTCGCAAAAAGACTGAGGCTGGTGAGTCATGTAAGGTGCAGACGGAGTTTCTACATCTCAGGTGGGCATTGCCCATCCCGTTTCTTCCCTTCCCTCTTGCCCCTCTGTCTCCTCTGTGCTTGGTGTCTCTGCTTTCTCGTTCCGTGGTAGCCCTAGGTGACCATGGACAGAACTGTCTTGTGGAATAAGCGATGGTGAAATGCACAGACCTTTTTATTGGGTGGACGTTAGCTCAGGGAATTCTAGAAAAACCAGTCATTTCACTGCTGCAATCAGTGGATCGTTTTATAAGGGGCTCACAGATTGGTTGAATAACAGAACCTCTTAGAGGAGACCTGTCTGAGTCAAGTGAGGAAATCATACACCTAAATGAGAGCCCGCCCCTTCCCCTCTCGCTGCACGTTATGGTCACTCTTTGGGCGCCAGGAACCATTTTATTCAAATCCCACAGAGTCATCGCCTCTCTGCTGGCAATGTCTGGATGGGCACTGCAAAGACATTTTAGATCTTTGGAACAAAATCGGCCCCTTCAGAAAGCAGGATGCCCGCACCTGCTAGAAAGGAGGCAGTGACCATTGGATTTCTCTTTGTTAATGGTGCCCATTTGGTTGCCGGTTCTCTCCTGAGCGGTGGAAACTGAGGAACCCTACCTCACACCTCCCCCAAGAGAGACCTTAGACTATCCCTGAGGGCTGGTAGGAACTGCATTTGGTTAAGAAAGAACCGCATTTCCGCATTTCCGGAAGGCATGGAGGGAGAGACGAAGGCCCAGTGTCTGTGAGGTTTCTTGCCCCTGGGTTGGGCAATTTGGATCAAAGGTCTTCCAACTCCTGTCTTTTTTGTAACTTGAAAGCTCTTTGAACCTTCTTTTCTTCAAAGGCATTACCTACTTGTTTTTTTTCAAAGGTGATTATAGCTATTATGATTGCCTCTTAATAGTTTCTCTTTCTTTGAAAGAATTCGGTTTAAATAAATCTACTTAAGCCATGTTTCAAATTAACTAGAATTACCAGGAGTAAGGTTTGATTTAATCAGAAGGTTTTTTTTCCCTTTTAAAAAAAGCAGTCTGATGTTTTGGTAATCTTAAAAGGGAAGAGGGGCAACTTAGAACTGAGTTTTGCTCTTCAGTATTCCAAAGCAGGTTCACTTGGGCGTTTTGTGAGATTCATCCTGTAGCTCTCAGAAAATTGAGTGGTTGTTGGCTGATATATTTACCAAACCTAATTGAGACAGACCCATGTAACATTGTTGGGAGGTGGCCTTCTCTCAAGTTCCACAATTCCAATTATAGGCAGATGTGTACAGTTTTAATAATTACAATTATGAATGTGAAGCAAACTGGTTGTTTCTCTACAAATATATTTTAAATCAAACCCTTTCGGCTAGATCAACATAAGTTGCTTAACATGCAGATTCTATCTCTTCCACCTCCCAAATGCCCTGCTAAGTTATCTTCTTGAAACTGTGCTCAAGATAAGGCTAGACTGTTCCCAAAGTTGCCTGGGATGGTGGAGGGTGATCTGACCTCTTATCTCTCCCTCTGCCCTCTTTTGAGAACAAGTCCTTCTTTCTGGACCCCAGGTCTTGGAGAGGTGAGGAGGTGAACAAAACGAGGCAGCCCTTTGCTGTGAAGGGAACGCTGTAGAGATTAGGAACGGAGTCTTTTGCTTTGATCTCAGAAGTTTAGAGATAACAATTTCTAGGACTCTGATGAAACTGGGCCTCCTCAACTATTATTGTCTTTATTTGATGGTGCTGTCTCTCACAGTGGGTGCTCCTCACAGGTTTGTGTGTTCATTAACATTCTTTTAGGTTCATTTTCAAACTGCAAGCAGTCAAACAACCCTCCAATTTAAAGCACAATATTATTTTTCTTCTCCCCCCGACCTTTCTTTTTGAGATGGAGCCTCGCTCTGTCTCCCAGGCTGGAGTGCAGTGGCGCAGTCTCGGCTCACTGCAGCTTTTGCCTCCTGGGTTCAAGCAATTCTCCTGCCTCAGCCTCCCGAGTAGCTGGGACAACAGGTGTGCGCCTCCACACCTGGCTGATTTTGTGTTGTTAGTAGAGACAGGGTTTGACCATGTTGCCCAGGCTCGTTTCGAACTATAGCCTCAGGTGATCTGCCCACCTTGGCCTCCCAGAGTGCTGGGATTACAGGCATGGGCCACTGCCCCCGGCAGATTTTTCTTCTTATAAAAATATTCACGCCCTTTTCTTCCCGCTTCAGTGATCCTGAGGGGTGGGGTCTAAGAACAGGGTTTCTCAGGTTCTTTTTAACTGATATCTCCGCCTAGTCTCCCACACCCATGACTCCTGAAGGACTTACCTTGGACACGGTTTTTGGGGCCTATGGATGCTGGCTGGCTCGATGGGAAAGGTGTAGGGGGAGAGTTGGGGAGGGAAGAGTAAGGGAGTCAAGGAGGCGAAGGGGAGGGAGGTTAAGAGAGAAAAATGGAATCGTAAAAAAACAAAAGAAGAGTTCAGTGTTTGAACATGCAGCGCGCCTGGTTGGTTTGTTTGCCATTCCCTCTTGTAGTTTGGGCTGAAGAGTTTGGGTGATATTTAGAGCCTTCAAGAGTTTTCTGAGCTCTGTTTAGATGGGATCCTCTTTAGAAAAGCTTAGCGCAGTGACTTTGGAAAAACATTTTGGCTGTGACATCTTGAACTGCACAGACTGGACTGTATCTCTCCTCCCCTGAGATTTCCTACAACGTTCCTAATGGTCATGTGCCCTGCAGGTGGAGACACGTTTGAGTGAGGTGAAAATACATTCGTGAAACTAGACATAAATACTGCCGATTGAGAAAGTGCGAGAGTTTTGTTCAGGACTGGAAGCCTGTCTCTGCCTGAGCCCTGCAGCCGGAGTCTTCTGTTTGGGGGGGATGGACCATAATATTTACATTGAAGTTCAAAGGATGAACTATGAGCTTAATTCTGAGATCAACAAAGATTAAGGAAAGATTCAGATGAGGGCATAAGAGTAACAACTCTCTAATTACCTGTCAGTTTCAGTATCTTTAAGATCAAAAGACAAACATGGCGCAGAAGGCATAATAGACCCAAAGTCACTGATGCACTGGGCTTTCTCCCCCCTTTTCCTAGGTATGTTAATTATCCAGGAACAAAGCGGTGCCATGAGGTCGCTTAGTCTAGTTTGCATTGCCATCTTTCTTTTTTTTTTTTTTTCAAGTCACTATATGGTTGGCCGCCTGCCATATCTTTGGGGCGCTTTTTTTTTTTTTTTAAGACAGGGTTCACTCTGTTGCCCAGGCTGGAGTGCAGTGGCGCAATCTCGGCTCACTGCCAACCCCGCCTTTCCTGGCTGTTCCACGCCAGTTCTCCTGCCTCCGCCTTCCCGAGTAGCTGAGGACTACAGGCA